CGGGCCGCCTGTACCTTAGTGGGAGAGACGATGAAGAGAGGGGAGAAAGTGGGCCAAGGGGAAACGAGAAGGAATGTACAGACATCGTCTGCCCATGCTTTGTCAGTTGATAAGAAAGGGGGGACAACGGCGAAAAGTGCACACAGAGGAGGAAGAGGAGGAGGAGGAGGAGGAGGAGGTGGAGGAGGTGGAGGTTGAGTGGGAGAGGAGGTGATCTGGACGACCTTTGCCTACATCTTCCTGGGGGGGGGGAGGCGGGACGACGAGGGCGGCAAAACGAGGAGGGAACGGAGGAGGAGGAGGAGGAGGAGGAGGAGGAGGAGGAGGAGGAGGAGGAGGAGGATGTGGCCTCGACACCCCGTCCCTGCAGATTCCTGAGGAGGAGGAGCTGCAGGACGCTGGACCCCAGCGCGGGGATATGTGAACACTGGGACTATAGGGGCCCCTGTCCCTGACTTTGTGGGGCCCCCCACTGGACAACAAACTGTCCCCAATCGGGGTGCGTCTGGATACCCCCTCCCTGACACATCCCGGAGTTCCCCCTTCATGTCCAAACGGCCCCAGCAAAGGGTGAGGTCCCCAGAATGACCACACTCGCCCAGAAGCCTCCCCTCGTGATGTCTTCACGACGCGGGGATGCTGGTGCCCTCCTCCTGCATCACCCCCCGCGGGCCCGCGCGCGCTGTCCCGTAGGCCCAGGCTATGGTCGACCAGCAGCGGGGGAGGACCTCTGCGTTGCTGCCCTCGCGCACCTGCGAAGGGCAGGGGGCCAGATGGCTCTAGGCCGGTGGCGGGCTGAGCGACCACAGCGCAGATCGCCGCTGCCCCATCTTTCCTCCTCCTCCATCCTCCTCCCCGGCCTCTCCTTCCCCTCTCAGGAGGTCCAGGCCCCCTAGGGGATGCGAGGGGGAGGGAGGGGATGCAACCATCGAGGATCTGGTCTTGGACGCCTCAGGCGCCTCTTGGGACTCCGAGGGCCCCGTGGTGAAGGAAGGCGATGGGGAGGGCGACGAGGAGCTAGGGGAGGCGGAGAGCAGGATGGAGCGGGGTGGGGTGGCGTAAGAGTGGGAGGGCAGGGCGACGAGAAAGAGGGAGGGGAGCAGCGGAGCAGGATGAGTGGGGTGGGATGGGGTGGCGTGGAGAGGGGCGGGCGACGAGGAGGAGCGCGAGGAGGAGGAGCGCAGGACAAGGATGCGGGCAAGAGAGACGTCACCACACATACCAGGGGCAGGGCAGCGAAGGGGGTCGCCCGAGGGGAGGGGGGGGGACGCATGGAGAGGGTTGAATGATCAGGAGCAAAAGGAACAGGCCCTTGTTGCAGCAGCAGGGGGAGGGGGAGGGGGGGAGGAGGAGGAGGAGGAGGAGGAGGAGGAGGAGGAGGAGGACGGTGAAGGGTAGAAGGATGAGGATCTGGACGGGGGGAGAAGAGGAGGAGGATCCCCGAGTCTCGGGAGAGCGCGTGTTCCCCGCCTCCCGCCGCGGGGGGCCTGGTCTCCACCTGAGGAGCCAGACCCCCCGACCGTGAACTGCATGCAGTCGACGGCTTTCCCCTGAACGGGGGCCCTGCGCCGTGCGGCTGCCTAGGGCCCCCGGCCGCGAGGCCGAGCGCGACGGGCTTACCGATGTCGACGCCCAGCTCGCTTGTCACGTGCCCGAGCCGCGACCTGCGCGGGGGCCGTCGTACGCGGTCAGCATCTCCTCGAAGTTGCTGGCCATTGCGATCAGCTCGTCGCGGTCGAACGGGATCTCGGGCACCTTGGGGAGCCTCGCGCGCGTCGCCAGGCGGCGGACGAGATTCCGAAGCTGCCAGATCTCCAATCCAGCGTGCCTGCTCTTGTCATTGTGCTCGCCGCCCTTGCCCGTGTTCTTGCCCTTGCCCTCGCGCGAGGCCGCGCTGGATGGCGGGCGGCTCCGCTGCACCAACGGCAGAGCATCAGCCCAGCTGTCGTCCTCCAGCATCGGCACGGGCGATGGATCGGGAGCCGCAGCGCCCCGCACGGCACCCTCCGCCGCCCCGCCCCCGTCGTCGACCACCTCCATGTCGAGCGGCGCCATGTCCGCGGCTGCTCCTCGGCCTCGTCCGCGCGGGCGGCGCCGCCGCCGCGGGGCGGCGGGTGGCGCGGCCGCCTCAGCAGGCGGGGCGGGAGCAGGCGGCGGCGCCGCCAGCACGGCCACGGCCGTGCGGAGGAGGCCCTCAGCCGCGCGCAGCAGGCGCACCGCGTCGCGGCCGCCTGCGGGGGCGCGGGCCGCCAGCCCAGCGGCGGCGTGGACCGCGAGGAGCGCGCCGCGCGCGCCCTCGAGCGGTGCCGCGCGGGCAGCCATCGCCGTACCAGGCGTCGGCGCGTCGGCGGCGGGGCCAGCAGCGAGCGCGCGTGAGCCAAAATGGTACTAGAAGAGGAGGAGGAGGAGGAGGAGGAGGAGGAGGAGGAGGAGGAGGAGGCGGACCAGGGGCAGTGAAGCGAAGGGAGGCGGCGGCGCCGGCGGCCTCCTCAGCCCGAGCGTGGCGGCGCGCGCAAAAGGGGTGGCGCGAGGGGGAGGGTCATCGACAGGAATTTGGATGGGCCCCGAAGGGGGGTCCAGCTTTCTGTTGCTCCCTTCGCCCTGAAGGACCCCACCCCAGAAACAATGTCGAGCACCCGGAAAAGTGTCGAAAGAGTGTCGAAAGAGTGTCGAAACAGTGTCAAACGAGTGTCTCCCAGGGCCCGACACGTGAATACCCTCGAGTTTAGGGGGTACTTTCTCTGGTGCTCGAAATTCATTCTGGTGATCAAGGCTAAAGTAGATTGGAACATCGTAAGTCCAGCTGAAAAGGAAGTGGTGTACTATATTCGGGGCAATTGTATTGCAAATGTACTGCGCCGGAGAACTGTGTTGCATCGTGCTGCAAGTCATGTCGTGCATGCGGCAATACAGCAACACATCTGCGCCCCGAAATGTATTGCGCGCCCCACATGTATTGCAACCTCACAAATCCATTGCACCAAATCTATGGCACCAAAATCTGTTGCACCACTCCCTGGTCGCTGGACCCCCTCGTGGGTCAACCCGAAGGAGGGCACAGGGCGCGTCTCAGAGGTCACAGGGCTTCGCAGAAGGGCCTGGGGGCCGCCCGAGCGCGCCGGAGGCGCCGCCAGGGGGGGCCCTCGCAAATCGAAGAAGTCCGCGCGGACCGTCGAAAGCTTATGTTTGTACGGTTGTTCCTTCCTCGAACTTTGGAGGGGGCTTCTGGCAGGGCTTCTCAGACTGGCCCCGCTGTCGGGGATCTGCTGACCTGGGTCAGTCCAAGCCCGGGTTCGTCGGTCTTTGCAGGATCCTGGAAGATGCTGCAGGATCCTGCACGCAAGCCCAGGTAAATGCATCTCTGGCTCCAGATTGATCCTGCAAAGATCTGGCGCACTGGCTGACGACCCGCTTGCATTGTTGAGCAGGGATCGACCGTCCCGGTATTCCTGTAGGTCTGCCACGAAATACTCTTAGAACAGAATAACGATATAAGAACACAAGACATGGTCTTGAAACAAAAACCCGAATTAGGTATTGAAACAACAATCCCTCAAACCAAGAATGCTCTGAGAATATGTGGCATGAGCCGCGAAATATTACCGAAACATTCTTTGGTGGGCCCATCGTCGAGCTAGGGCACTTCGCCACTGCTCGACTGGGGCAGCGGCACGCCTGCCGGCACAGCTCCCACTCCGTCCGCGCGTGCAGCGCGGCGAAGCGGTGGTCGCTGGCGCTGACGACCTATGGCAGTGAGGGAGCAGCACACGCTCTGTGTTATGACTCGTGGCGGCCACTGAAGAGCCGCGGTAATGGTAGCTATCACCAATCACGTGGGCTAGTACAGCCGAGAGGCATTCACAGAACGCTGTGCTTCATGGCAGCCAAAAAGTTTGCTGACAAGCCGGAGTCGGAGGGATTCAATCTGGAGTCAGAAAGAAGACCATGTCATTAACGACAACAGCACAACCATCGTCGACGATCAAGCTCATCCTCCCCATCATGATCCTTCCTCTTCCTGCCCCTGCTCCTCCCCCCGTGAGGACGAGGGGAAGGACACGGCACCAACACCGGCACAGTCAAACAGCAAGGGGAGTGTCTTCGCGATGGTGTGATGTCGGAGCTCCTTGTTCGGTGAACTGTCCGATACACCTTCGACCCACAGCCAAGGGTGTATCGCAGAACCTCCTCGCTGGGAGTTGCCGAACTGGTGGTGCGGGTGTCGTGCTTCGTTCCTACAGTGCGTGGGCCCAAATATTTTCGAATGGGCTCGAAGGCTCCAGATTGTATGTTCAAAGGCTGCTGGAGATTTTCGGGTCCCTGAAATGTCATCCAACAACTGCGCTGTCTTGGAGCGCCAGAATCGTCCCAAACGGCCCTCGGGACCTATGCGAACGAAAGCGTCGAGATCTTCGGAGGCCTGTATGCGCAGTCAAAACAACAATTATTTGGTGAGGGAGCCTCCCTCCCGGGGTCAACAGCCCCACTTGATACAAAGGAAATATTACGCGGGCTCCCCAATGCAATTCCGTGGCCCTCAGAGCTTCCAAATCCATTCCTCCGACACTTCCGTACTTCCGTAGTGCCCAATATTACCTCCGAGACGCCTCGTGGACCGGATTTCGGACCAGGGCAAGCTCAGAATTTGACCTCCCAGGAGTTGCTGTTCGAACCTACAGGCCCACAACGACACACGTGCTCTCAGAACCAAGCAGTGCTCTCAGAACAAAGGCAAACACACCGTAGAGAACAGAAAGACGATGTGAGAAAACAAGACAACCCAGGCAGCACAGTGAAAGGCACAGTTCGTGAAAGGCACAGTTCGCGAAAGGCACAGGAAAACGCGATCTGTAAAAGACACAGTTCGCGAAGACCACAAGCAGATACCTCACAACATTCGCTGCCGCCCTCTCGCTCTTCCGTGGGCCTGCAGGCCAGCCGGGACGCCTCGCCACCGCTGGACACGCGCCGCTCCCCCCCCCCCCGAGGGCGGGCAGGCGCCCCCCCCCCTCTTGCATCCTCCTCCTCTTGCCTCCTCCTCCTCCTCCTCCGCCTCCTCCTCTTCTTCCTCGCCCGGGAGGACGCGGCCGTCCCTCGCCAGACGGGCGAGCTTGTGCAGCGCAGTGCTGATGTTGACGCAGGTCATGTCGTTGAGGTTGGCGGCGGCGATGTTGAGGAGGCCTCCCGGCGCGGGCCGCGGGGCGGAAAAGCAACGCCCCTCGAGGACTCCCGCTAACGGGTACTTTGGCCAGTGGCCCGTGGAACCCGACTCTGCCCGATGTGGGTCGCGCTGCATTTCCAGAGAGAGGCGGCTCTTGCGCGCGCGCGCCTCGCGGACCTCTGCCGCCCAGAGGGCGGGTGCAGCATGCGAGCGGGGGCTGGCCATCCCAGGAGGCAGGAGCGTCGGAACCAGAGCAGGACGGAGCGCCGTCGGGTGCCGCCGAAGGCATCCCTGGCCCAAGGCTGGGAAGCTGGCAGTGGGACCCATGTCCTGGGACCCCACGGAACGGTGGATACATTTCAATGTCCACCGCCTCCCGAGATCAAAGGAGATCGGATTGCCAGGCGGTGGATATGGAGAAATCCCAGCCTCGGATGGGGTGCCTCACGAAGTTTTCTCAGGGAGGCCTCATCGGCCTCCCGATCAGCCCCTGACGAGGCCCCGAAGGCCCCACTGGCTACAAGATTACAAGATGGCGCGAAAAACTGGGGGACTCCTGGCCCAAGGGCACTCATCGTGCAACCTCTGGCGCTGGGAATCGGAATTGAAACGAAGCCAGGGAGGAGATACATCGGGAATCAATGAGCCAACGGGTCTGGAAGACGTACCGCACGCCGCGTACGTTCCAGAACGCTCCAGAACTTTCTGAGAAAATTCCAAGACGCTCTGGAACGAATAACCTCATTCCAGGTCTGCATGAATTTGACAGCCTCCGTGAACATTGGTTAACCGATCCCCATCATCACTGTCACCGCCTTGGGTTTCTCGGGACCCACCCCCCCTGGATGGGGGGGGCCCTGGATGGGAAATGAAACTGTCGGAGCTGGAATCCAAACAGGAGCGCCCAGACAGCAAGGGTTCGAAACGGTGCACCCTCCTGCTTCACTCCTCTCCGCACGAACCCCGCATCCCACACACCACATTCCCCCTGCAATCATATGTCATGCCCCTCTCCCTCCCCGTCCCATCCTGGGGAAACCCCTAAACGTACCGATACCACTACTACCTGGACCTCTCCAGGGGTGCGTTCTGACCAGGATTTCGAGGCGAATCCAGCGGTGGCGACGTGGGCCTCCCAAGAGGCCCAAACAGGTGAAAACGAGGAAAGGGTAGCGGTATGGGTACCTGTTCCTCCTCCGACCTCCCTTCCCCAACAACCCCTCTCCTCATGTTCCCCGTTCCGTCGTCCCCTCCTCTCGTCGCCCCGCCCCCCCACTCCCGCTTCCTCATGATAACAATGCTTCAACCCCCTGGCCTCTGTCCCACAGACCTGGTCCTCCCTCCTCCCTCCCCTGGGGCGCACAAGGACATACCAGTACTATATGTCCTCCTCGGAGGCGTGCGGCCGACCCAAACATATAGTACAGTCATCTTGAAGTATATCAGTATGCCAGCGGTATGGCCAGAAAGTGCCCGCGATTAAGCATAGACTATAAGAGTTCTCGGCGCGAGCGCGTCGCCATTCTGGGAGCGATTCGCACATAGTATTGGTATGTTTGGGCGACGCTGACCCTCCCTGGCAAATTAATTACTCCATGCGGGTAGAAATATACAATACTTCCTAATGCTGTTAAGTCCCTCGGCCTATCCGCCTACCCCGCATACTGGTTGCCTACGCACAGGAATCTCCCGAGCTGGCGTTCGCCCTGGTCATCCTGCTCCCCCTGATCCTGCTCATCCTTCTTCCTCATCATCCTGGTTGTCCCTCTTCTCGTCCTCCTGGCGATCCGCCACCTTAATCTGTCTGTCCAGTGCAAAGCTCCCCTTCCTGATTGCGACGCGATAGGCTCATGTGAAGGGACCATGGGACACACACACACACATAAATAGGCACAAATGACCGGATTCCAAATATGTTGCCACATGTTATGGGTTTTCGTCGCCCCCCCCATTTCCCATATTTTCCCATATGTTCTGGGGAACCGGCGAATAATTGTGGTTGTGTGTTGTTTGCCCTCCTGATCATACTGGGAACCAAGGTCATTCGGGACACCCCAGCAGGTGTTCACCCTGGCAAGGCAAGCCGCCCGCCAATCCCAGCAGCGCAAGGGGAGGGATAGGATCTCAAGCTCGCCCCCCCCCCCCTCTCCACTTCCCCCTCCCGACTTCCTCCGTCGCCTCATGCCCCCCCCCACCCCGCCCTCGTCCCTTCTTCGCCCCCTCCCCCCCGAGAGTAATCCCCAACTAGGCTTTGCCCAAGGGGGTGCTACTTGTATGTGTGTGTGTGTGTGTGCAGGATGCCACTTGGTGCGAGCTGTCCCCAACAGAATTGCCCTCAA